TTTCCCTCATTCATTAAGTTGTTTATTTATTTATGTGTTTTTTTTTTAAATGTAACAGTATTACACAGTTTTTACCGTATTGCTTAATTCACATTATTTGGGGGGAAAAAGCATATATAGAATATAATTATCATAGAATTTTAGAAAAACATTTTCATTTTACAAAAACAAGATACTGAAAAAAATATACATTTTTAATTACATTTTCAAAACATTTTTAATTCTTTAAAATTTTTCAGAATTTTGTAGTTTTTTTTATAACTTCTGCTTTCCTAGAATTGTGTCTGATTTGGAGAACACTTTTCAGCAAATGTATCCTTTCAGAAACACACATACCTTAGTGCGGACAATCTCCTGTGGATAGTCACTCATGGCTGAGGTCAGCCACCCCTCCAGACTCTTAGCAAAGTTTCTGATAGCTTGAGTGAGGGTGCCTGCAGGATCATATTTCCCATCAGTCATGCACTCAAGCATTCTGCTTACAGTACAGCAGCAACACTGCCCCTGGAACAGGTCACAGTAAGTGTGTGTATATGTATAAATACTAACTGGGAACAGGCCGCAGTACATCAGGGATGAGGATCTCCACCAGTGCCTGATACAGGATGTGATCACAGCTCCTCATCCACTGTTTGATTGGTTCATATTTACACAGAGCGATCAGCTTCTCTCTGGGGAATCCTCTGATGTCCTCCACATCCTCTTCACTGCACAATACACAATATGCATCTTTGAGTCAAGCATATTAAAACAGCTTCTTTTTTTTCTCTAAATAATCTTTTAAAATTATTTAAAGGATTACATTAATCAATGTATAAATATTTCCAAAGAAGCACTCGATGTTTCATTCAAAAAGTGCAATACCTATACTACAGTTCAAAAGTTTTGGCTTAGTTTTTTAAAAATTATTATTATTTATTAATTTATCTTATTTTATATATTTCTAAATAAATTAATATTTTTATTCAGCAAGGATGCATTAAACTGACAGTAAAGTAAAAGTAAAGACAAACAGTAAAGACATTTATAATGCTAAAAAAATATTTCAAATGTCAAATTAACGCTGCCGTTTAGAAATCCTGACATTAACAAAAAAAAAAAACGGTTCCAGAAAGATAATAGGCTGCAAAACAGTTTTCAACACTGAGAATAATAAGAAACGTTTCTTCAGCCTATTAGAATGATTTCTGAAGGATCATGTGGCAATGAAGACTGGTTTCCCATCAAAAAGGACATTTTAAAATATTAAAATAGAAAACATCCACCTTATTTTAAATTATAATAAACATTTCACAAAATTACTGTTTCACTGTATTTTTATCTAATAAATGGAGCATTGGTGAGCATAAGACTTTCAAAAACAAAATCTGACCAACAGCAAACGTTTGAATGGTGGTGTAGCTTATGAATATTTCAGAGCAGATCAAAACTAGAAAAAAATAAAAATAAAAATAATAATAATAATATATATACACACATACATTCATAACACTACAGAAATCTCCATGACTTTCTAAGATTTGCCTTATTTCCAGGCCTGAAAAAAAAAAATCACCATTTAAAACATTTCTATGCATTTTCAGGTTTTCCATGACTGGGAACCTGTGAAGGTTTACATGACTACGGCACCTGTTAGGAATGCTAGTGGCTCCGTCACTAGATGGCGCTGTTGAATACCAAAAGGTCTGCCATAGCTTCTCTATGAGATGGAACTGCAAGTTCATGACTACGTCCAGAGTAGCCTGACAGAGAGAAATCAATTTTAAATGCAAAGTTTGAACATGCTTCCATACATAAAATCATTCAAACAGGAAAACATTTCCTCCAGATACTTTAAATGCACATCTGACATTAAATCCCACTATAATCCCTCGCAAAACAAATAATGTCAGAACAAAAACACTAATACGCAATGACTTTTTTGTGGCTTCAAGAATATCTTGAGAAGCTTCCATATAAGTTATGATAACATCAGTGAAATAACCGTGCTCCTTCATTCGGAGTGTCTTTTGTCTTTCCTATTGGCATAGACAACTAGATCATCTCAAGTACGGCCCACTCACGGCATCAGCGTCCACCTCGCAGTTTAAATGATGAAAACAGCCAGCACTCATTCAGAAGCACCCATCTTGAAGGCAATCCACCTTCTTATTTAAATAATTAAATTGTTGTACAACACAAACAACATGCAAAAACTCATCTTATATTGAGTTTTATGTCCAAAAAAGGAAGTTTAGTCTGTGTGGTGAGGATGGTATTTTAGCAAACTGACACGCGGAAACAAAAGTAGGTGTTGGTGCTTTATTGGAGAGCAGAAGTGAGAGTGTGGTAAGTTCAGAGTGTGTTTGTCTCAGTGATTCACACTCGGCTCTCAGATTCTCCTCGATGAGGACACACACTCTTGTATCCAGTTACACAACCCCCCCTCGCCAGTCACATGCTATGTTTTGGCTTCCACAGCCAGGTCACCATGGCAACCTTGTTTACCGTTGTCCCGGCAACAGTTCAAACATAACACTCCAAAACAAAAAGAGAGAAAATTCTCTTTCCTGGACAAACAAGTTTTCTTACCTTAGTCGAAAGAAGGGGAAAAGCACTACAGTCCTGCTTCTACAGGACGAGTCGATGATTTTTAAAGTGTTTTGCATTTGTGAACTCTGAAAAGTCTGGTTTATAAACTTACAGCCAATTCAGGCAGCACTAAAGGCGTAGAGATGTGATTTCCTGACATGCATCAGCAATGTTGTTGCTCTGCTTCTACTTACCAGTTTGAAGTAAGGGTGGGCGATATGACCAAAATCTTATATCACGATGAGCAATTTTATTTCACGATAATGAGATATATCACGATATAGTTATTTTTGCTTTAAATTAATAAGGTCTTTATGATATCTAAATTCTTGATACCATAGAAAATGCATAATTCTTGTCACCAGTGTCAACATCACAAAAAACTCAAGCTCACTCAAGACAAGTAAACAGTCAACGACTACATAAGAATAAGAATCTAATTACAAGCAAAAATACAGTAGAAAAAAATGTGATATTCATTTTATAAAGTAATCAAATATATAAAAACACTGTATATTCTTCACTGTGTACATTAAATATGTATTTCTTCTTATTAAAGTTACAAAAGTGATTTAGTCAAGAGCAGTGAGAGATTTTCTCTCTTTTGTTGTTTGATTAACATGAATGACAGACAGCAGGAATATTAGACTGCTGTCACTTTAAGAGCTGCCCAGACACAATATTCTGTTAGACGCGTTTTTCTTTTCTCAGCTGCTTGTTTTCACTTAATACCTAAATTACTGTGTTTTTGTGGATACTTGCAAAGACGGGCATTTTGTCACATAAAAGTGTGCATATTTGTAACGGTTCAAGACCTATAAAGCGGCAAAAATAACTTTGCTCATAAAACGCAGTATTGAACGTTATTGACTGTCTTCACATGCGCCTGCCTCTCACACAGCACACACGCATATAGCCAAATTAGCTCTGTTTCACTGCTGATTGCATTTTAGCGGCTTAAAATCACTTGTTTTTAAACCTCAATGTTTAAACACGTGTGCAAATAATATTTTTCTGTGACCACGCAGCACAGCAACGTCACGTGAGCGTGTAACCGGGATAGAGACAATAGTCCAAAATCTCTACCAGTTGACACCTTTCTACCAGTATATTGCCCACCCCTAATTTAAAGATTATACTTTAAGATTGAGGCGATTTTCGACAAATTTATATTTTTCACTGCCTGACAAACACCGGAAACTTTTTGCAGCAAATAAAAAGTGACAGAACATTTTGATGTTCACTTTGTTTCTATTTTTAGCCCTACACAAGCTGAAATCTCATTGGTCCAAAATCCCACTGAACATAAATGTGTATTAAACACACAAAAACCCACATGTCTGATTGCCTGTGTTTGTGTTGAACAAAGTCTGTCGCTGGAAACCTGGTTAACACAATATTAGTTTAAAGAGTAAAAATAAAAGATATTCAGAATACAGAATCACTTCCATTTGAATAAGTTCACCAAGTTCATGATTTGTGTGTCAGAATTAACTCTTTACTTTTATACTTATTTGTCAGGAGCGAGGAGCACACAAAAAAGCCACAGCCGGAGGGCAAAGATCCTGCTGGATAAAAGGTTAATTGGGAAGACTGAAAACTCCTAGTCTGAGGGATGAAAAAAGCCCAGGAACAAAACGTTGTGCAGTGGACGGGGAGGGAGGGAGAAAAAGAAAACGAGCTCTAACATGGCAGAAATGACATTAAAAGTGAGAGCTATGAAATGAAGACGGGTTGAGTCCATCTGTCAAAATATTGAGAGCAGTGCTATACTTCGACTGTAAGGAGACCAGCCGCGTTCTGAAAGTAAACCTCAAGAACATGTCAAACTAGAAACTCCATCAGCAGAAAGTACGAGAGAAAGGTGGAATACTAAGAAAGAGGCCATCAACTGCAGAGAGAGGGTTTTTCCTTTTGCAGAGTTCCTCATTGCCTGCAGCTAAACTGCTGCAAACACAAGTGAAGTGCCGTTTATTCTTTCATTAAAACACACTGAAACTTAAAGTAAAACTTAGAGAAAGAGGTTGTTGCGATTAAAATGGTTCTATATAAGGTTTAGGACTATGAATTGATTATAATATTTACTTCTCTTTCTGGAGTGTGATGAAGCAAAACATTATTATCATGAGACCACACAGGGAAGAAATCTAATCTCTCTGAAAACACTCCCTTTTCAGCACATAAAATAAGGAGTTGCTTCCTCTCATGAATACTAAATTCTTCATCTACTAACTTCTGAAGATAATATGGTCACAGAGAGAACAGATTCTTTTTTACAGTTTTAGGAGCCATCATACTTTGCAAAGTATTATACTATTACTATATTACTACTAAGAAAAAACGCAATATAAAATGTAATCTTCAACTATTATTATTGTTGTTGTTGTTATTATATACGCTACCATTTAAAACCTTTGGGGTCGCTAAGCTTTTTAAATGTTTTTGAAAAAAAGCATCTTTAGTTTTATTCTTAATTCAAAATAACTATTCTATTTTATAACTATTCTATTATTCCATTTTAAAATGTCATTTATTCCTGTCACATGATCCTTCAGAAATCAAGCTGATTTAGTGCTCAACATTTTTTCATCAATGTTAAAAATAGTTGTGTTTAATACGGTTTGTGGAAACTGTGATACATTTTTTCAGGATTGTTTAATGAACAGATAGTTCAAATGAACCATTTATTTGAAATAATCTTTTGTAACATTATAAAGGCCTTTACTGTAACTTTTGATCAATTTCATGCATCCTTGCTGAAGTATTAACTTATTCTTGTTTAAACCTACTGACCCCAAAGTTTTGAACGGTAGTGTAGTAATCATTTATAATTCATTTGTGTCTATGTATTAAACACGGACAGTCCTGCTGGGGTTCTTGCAAACTTTCAGACTGTTCTCAAGCTATTAAAAGTTATTTAGAAATCACAAAATAGAATGATTAAATGATCATAAAATGTCAAAATGAATAAATGTATAATTAAATATAATGCTGTTAACAAATTAACTTCAACAGAGACTGTGACACATAACAGAAAATATTCACAAGTTATGAAAGAACATTGTTCATACAAGATCATTCTCTGAGAGATGTTGCAGGTGCTTTGTTTTGCTTATCCTAGCTGCCAGTAAGAACAAGGCTCACATTCATGGGAGAAAACATGTGATACATTGTTGCAAGAAAACTGGCTTGGATAGATTAGTGTAACTATTTGCTGTGGTACATTTAATTCATTATTGTAATTCTTTAAAATTCTTATTATTCGATAATCATACAGTACATTCTTGTGTACTTGATATGATATGTACTCTCACTCATGCTGATTCATTCATATACACATTTACATTATGTTTACTTTCACGCTATTTTCAAATTATTAAATGGTTTACAGTAAGCGAGAGTTTATCTCTGCTAGGCTTTCTGTTTAATTTTCTAAAGATAGCTGTTAAGGAGTTGCTTCCTTTCCGTGAAAATTGTGAATCTCTTCCTTCCATTGGGAGCTTTGCATGATTGCATCATCGCAATCTTTTTGTCTTGACTAAAAAAAACAACAACAGTGTGCAGTACCTCACAGTGAATCCTGTAGTTGCTCTGTAGTTTTTTCACATCGTTCATGCTGATTGGCTCAGGCAGAGAACCCAGATCAGGAGAAGGGAAGGGGGGCAGGACGTGAGACACATCTGCCAAAACATACACAAAACTTTGTTGTTCATTTATTCAAATGATTTTGATGTGATTGTATGTAAATTAAAATCAAGTGTATTAAATCTGATCATGGAGGAGGTTTACCAATGTACTGCTGGTGGTGATTGCATCATCACAATCTTTTTGTCTTGACTAAAAAAAAAACAACAACAGTGTGCAGTACCTCACAGTGAATCCTGTAGTTGCTCTGTAGTTTTTTCACATCGTTCATGCTGATTGGCTCAGGCAGAGAACCCAGATCAGGAGAAGGGAAGGGGGGCAGGACGTGAGACACATCTGCCAAAACATACACAAAACTTTGTTGTTCATTTATTCAAATGATTTTGATGTGATTGTATGTAAATTAAAATCAAGTGTATTAAATCTGATCATGGAGGAGGTTTACCAATGTACTGCTGGTGGTGCTGGCTCTGTGCCGCCACGCTCTGCTCAGGGGTGCTGAACAAGTGCTGGGAGCCGCTGTTCAGACTGTCCCCCATCCCATCCATCTTGTGAAAGGGCTTAAACCTGGATACAGGAAATAGCAACAGGAAGAATAAATGTAGAATTCACTACTGGGGATTACAGAGGATATGACTAAGAGAGAGACAGAATAACATTTTCCATCAGGGTGCAGAGCCAGTGTCCAATATGAAGCTGTTCTATGCATTTCCAAATGCAAAAAAAAAAAAAAAAGTGGTTCTAACACTTAAACCTGATAGTTTTGACAACAACAACTTAATAAGACACAAATTTTTATTTTTATTTTTTTTTTTTAGATAAAATCATGTGAATTCATTATTAATTTAAATAATAGAAACAGAATTAATTCACTATAAATTTAAATTTCATTATTGGATCAATTTAATTATTAAATTAAATTTCCAAATTTAAAATAAGTTCTCAACTCATTTCTGTGTCTGTTATTTTAGTATTATAGTATCATGATGAGATACTATTCGTTCTTATTAATATTTTGAATTCTTTTATTTTTATAGTTTCTGTTTTCATTTCAATTTTTGCCAAGGTTTTAGTAATTTCGCTGTTTTTATAATTTTTTTCTATATAATATTTGTTTATTTATTTATTTATAGTTTTAATTATTTTAGCACATCAAATTTAAATGAAAATGAGAAATGCTGATTTGGCAACTAACTGAAATAAAATTAGTCTGAATTTTTTTTTTTTCCCCCACTTAAAATGTATCGTGTCAAGTGACAAATGTTTTTTTTTTTTCAGTTTTAGTTATTATTTTAGTTTTTAAATGAACTATATTTACCCTGGTCTGAATGGAGAGAAAACTGGGGTGTAAGTGTCCATCTATTCAGCCAGTGTGGGACTCAATTACATACTGACTTAATAAACAAAGAAAAAAAGAAAAAAACAAACAAAGCTCTAGCAGGATCTGAACAATTGAGTGAGACATGCACACAGATCCTGATGGCAAAGAAGAAGTGACTGGGATATGAGACAAAGATTGCGTGCAAGTGAGAAGGAGAGAAAGGGAATGCTTATTTCACCTCTGTTTCTGATGGACAGGTTGTTGTCTCATTGCCATGTACTGCATGTCCTCCTGCAAGCGGTTGAGAGGCGAGTCAGGCTTCAGACGAATTCCGTAATAATGGTATTTAGAGTTCCCCCTGAGATACACACATACAGACAAAATGAGCCATCACATTTTTTTTATTCCAGCAGCAACACACCACAATTTAAGACTGAACGTCATTTATTCAGTCCATCATCTCATGATCATTCTTTAAGCATTAGACGAGTGTCTGCAGTAAATCCACTCAATGTTCTTCCCTATGCTGCTGTGGGTTTGAGACTGGATTGTGCTTTTCTTTTCAGAGTGGATGAGCTGTTAATGTACTTTATAGATTAGCTATATTTTGGGGGTGTAGTCAGACCTGGTGCCAAGCCGGCGTGTGCGAAGGCCCATGAAGACAGATCGGATGAGTTTGCCAAAAGAAGCAGCATTAACTGGATCCAGTTTTTGCTCCTGACAGTGTCTCAGATAGTGGTTATATAGAGAGCTCCGTGGCAGACTCACACCATCAGCAGTCTCATAATTGTCCAACAGCCACTGCAACTGTACACACACACACACACACACACACACACACAGCCAATGAATAAAACTTCTTCAGTTTACCTAAAAATAATAGCATAAACAAAACCACACATTACACTTCTTCATACAAACTGCCTATTCATTTGACCATAATCATTTGACCCAACACCTTCATGTGATAAAGATTTTTAGCTAATAACTTGTTTTTTAGTGAAAAAAATAAATATATTTTATGTTCCACACACAAAGCTACTGTATTGTATACCATTCCAAATTTCTAATTTTCTTTTCTATGGAAGAAAATATGTCACAAAAGTTTGGAAGTGCTGTTTTAGCATTAAAACAACGCAGTGGATTACATTTGTTTCTGAAGGGAATGCTCCCCCGATCTACCTAAATTTGTCTATGTTCGCGCAAATCATTCATGATCCAGCCTCATCTACAGAAGAAGTGAGTATAATGTTTTGTAAAGAATCTTTGCAAATTGCCTTTCCTAATAATGTGCTAATTAGCAAGTTTCACGATGAATGCGGGCGGCTAAAGTAAACTCTCTCTGAGAGCAGCTCGGAAAAAGAGGGGCGGGGTCAGCAGAGCTCATTAACATTTAAAGGAAAATGCTACAAAAACAGCTTGATCTGAAAAGAGCTGTTTTTGACAGGGTAAAAAAGTTTGTGTTTTTTACACTACCATTGAGAAATTTTAACCAAACTATGTTACAAACTTTTCATTAAGACCCTAAAGAATCATATCAACTTGTGGAAAATGGGCATCCTATGACCCCTTTAAGTGAAATTGTGCTTTATTTGTTAATGGTGTTTATGTTTTTGATTAGATAGTTTTTTTTTTAAATAGTTCTATTTAGCTTTATTTTATTTTTATTTCGGATTTATAATAATTTTAGTAACAGTAATACATTGCTGTAGAGAGCAACATTTATAATGTTCATTTAATATTTATAATAATTATATTTTATTTTAGATTTATATAAATTATCACCATTTTTAATAGTTTTAGAAAACAATAACAACAATGGAACAACATGAGGCTGGGTAAACAACAAACTGAACCATTTCTTTTTAAAAAGTTAGATGAATGGATTATAAAATTTAGTCAAATATTTTATAAACATGCAAGGGATGGGGTGTGTGTAGAACTTTGTGAATGAAGGGCTTTCTTGGGCAATTTTGTGGGTGCAGATTCCATGCAAGCCTCCTGATAACTGAGGAACAACATGGGAGAGGGAGTTTTAAACGCCTGTGTTTGAAATGAGTGAGCGGGACCAATAGTTGCCAATCTGTGAGGATCAAATTAGGCCCTCCACTGCCACACTGATAGCAGCATTATGTCGGTCTCGTCTTAGGCCTGATGCAAGAAAAGGATTTTTGTATAAGTGTAAATATTCATAGCCTTACATTGAGGTGTCCGTCTACAATGAGATAAATAAATGTTCTGGACTCAAGACTCCAACTGCTTCAACTTAGATATGACTCCCTGGCAATTTAAGATTAAAATATAAAGAGAAAATCTTTAAATATAAGTTTAAGTGTTTGATATTCAGGGGTACATCTCACACATATAAACATGGTGATCCCTGAGATGTTGACTGAATCAGTGGTGTCATGTAAATGCAGGGGGTCTGAGGCACTCTAAACCCAATACACACAGAGCGAGGGGCCGTTCTGGAAAAAGCATGCTCACAGCAGCAGTGAAGAGCAAAGCAAAGAGGCAGGCAGGATGAACTAAGCCTTTTTTTCAGGATTTGTTCCAGTTTCAATAAAGTTTTTTCCCAGTTTGACTTACATGGCTGTTGAGCAGGCTGCTTTTGTGCGTGGCAATCCCTTCTGACTTTTGGAGGTTTTCAATCGCCACTTCAAGCTGAGGAAAAGTAGGAGCATGCAAGACATAAAAAATGGGGGAAGAGAAGAAGAAAAAAAAAATGGAGGGGTGGAATGTTGGGGAGGAAAACAGGGAGGGAGAAAAGACACAAAAAAAACAGAAAAGGAAATCAGTCTGTTAGCTGCAGCCGGACTTTAAGCATTTCCATTAGAGTCTGTCAGTGTTTGCAGCCACATTCATTATGGGTGGACAAAAAGCATGCAAATGTGAGGAACTCAGAGGGTTACGCCACTCTTCCTGTCTCGGCCTCATATATGCTAATGAGCCGCACACACAGGGCGTGAGGTCAGGCTACTCTCAAACACATGAGACAAACTCTCTAGCCACTTCTGAAATCACACAGTTGGCGGGGTTGCGCCCTCTGCATAGACACTGTCGCATTTAATGCGTGATGCTGAAAAAGCAGATTTAATTTGACTCTAATAAACATGTTTTTCTGCAGGTATTAGCTGGGGAGAAGGATATAAGTTTCTGCTATTGCATTCATTAACCAGACAGTTTTTTTCCATAGTGGGCATGAAAAATTATTTATATTTCAAATGTTAGAATAAAGGGACTGAGAAGAAAAGATTAGAGGGAGAGAAAGATATAAAGAGGCAGAGAGAGAAAGTTTTGGCAGAGTGGCGAAACTTATAAAGAGAAAGAGGGAGACAGGGAGAAAAAAACAAAAACAAAACAGTGATCCTTCCAAGTCTTTAAAAGGCTCCCGACGGCCCTTGGCCAAATGGCCCCAGGGGTTGCTTTGTTTCGGAGGCCACTCAAGTGGCTGTGAAAACTGCTAAAACAAGGAAGAGCTGAATTATTTAGAGGTAGTCACCTCCTTAAGCCCTGTCCCTGCTTCCAGCAAGTTTTTTTCCATAGTGGGCATGAAAAATTATTTATATTTCAAATGTTAGAATAAAGGGATTGAGAAGAAAAGATTAGAGGGAGAGAAAGATATAAAGAGGCAGAGAGAGAAAGTTTTGGCAGAGTGGCGAAACTTATAAAGAGAAAGAGGGAGACAGGGAGAAAAAAAACTAAAACAAAACAGTGATCCTTCCAAGTCTTTAAAAGGCTCCCGACGGCCCTTGGCCAAATGGCCCCAGGGGTTGCTTTGTTTCGGAGGCCACTCAAGTGGCTGTGAAAACTGCTAAAACAAGGAAGAGCTGAATTATTTAGAGGTAGTCACCTCCTTAAGCCCTGTCCCTGCTTCCAGCCCACCTCATAAAGTAGCACACTGTGGAAAAAAAGCTGCACTCCGATGACAGTGTGTGTCATCTCTTCTCTCCAGAGTATTGGTAAGGGAAAACATGTGTTTGCATGATTAATCTGTGACGTTACTGTTTCAGAAATGCACATAATAGCAAAACACTTTTGTCTTAGGGAATGTAAGTTGAGCTCTGTCAACATATTGCGGATTACCACAGAAAGTAATTTTGACTCATCCTTCAGCTTGAAAAATTTCTAGAGGAGATATGAGCAGAAATGCAACCTGTATATTTATGTTACAGTGGTATTATGTCTTTCACACAAAAATGTGTTCTCTTTCAGTTATAAATTTGCCAACTTTTCTAGGCGGGTAAACTTCCAGTTATGCTTTACTGACTTAATTCTCTGCATAAACAGTCTAGTATCCTTGCACATATCAGGCAGGAGTTAAAATATCAGAAACAATTTCGCAAAGACAATGTTAGTACGTGTTTGTTAGCTTTTATAAACTGAGGGATGAGTTGCAATTTTTTTCTGCATTAAACGACATGGAAAGCACATTCCTGTCACACATCATCTAAACAACAAAACAGCATTATAAGACTGCTCACATTTCCAAAACCACAGCTTTCTAAGAGCTCAAAGTAACGGAGACTAAAACTCCCCTCCCATGTCACTAGTGGACCAGTCTTGAAGGATTTCAGCACAGCGAACCATACCATTGCGGACGAAGAGCGTGAGGAGTGAGAGGTGTGGTGGCGGCCGCTCTCCATCCCGCCGTGGATCAAGTAGGCACTGCCGCTAGAAATGATCTGACTGCTGCCCACGTCCATGGCGATTCCCACCATGCTGTGGGTGGGCACTCCGCCTGCAGAGGAGACGACGGTGGTAACCTGAGTACCACCTGCTTGAGTGTCAAAATAGGTGCTTCCGCTGCCCTGTCCGTACAGCTGGGACTCTGGGTTGTACGAGTATGCAGTACGACTGAAGAAAAAGACAAAGACAAAAGACTTTCAAAGAACATCTTTTGATTGTCAACTTTTCAACAGTATGTAACAGAAGTTGGATTTGATCTGGAGCTCATCTATATCCCGAATAAACATCTTTCATCTTTCAGTTCATATTTTACAATTTTGGAGCATTTATATTAGCTAATTTATTAATATTTAATTAGTTAATTATTTACACAGTGGACATGAACATTCACAAAAAAAGACAGAAAGCTACTAGGGTTTTCATTACTGATATGGCTTTCAGACTATATATTAAAACACAGCCAGTCATTACACACGTTTAAAAAAAACAAAAAAAACCTTTCCACAAAAATGGGGCCTGAATCACTAAAGGCTCCTGAAAAAAAGGAAATTAATTTCCTTTTCATTAGGCTCAAGTGGTTAGAGAAAAGTGGGTAACCTTGGAAAGAAAATATGATTGTCTAAGTAAATATTATATATTCTTCGATCTACGATTTAAAAAAGGGTCCAATAGTTTTAATTACGGTACTTATTAGGTGTATTATACTAAATCCGCAGTGCCACGATTTAAATGAATGTCACAATGTTTGCTTAAAAAAAATGCATGGAAAGCACCAGTATAATAATAATACTCATGACATTATGCTTCAGCATCAACAAGGAAGTCTTCAATAATAAGTTGCCTGCACAAAGTGAACAACTGAAAGCAGGTTTGACAGATTGGTTTAATATATTGATAGGGGCTTACACTGTGCCATTGGGGTAGACGGCCTCTGCCCCCTCCACGTACTGCACCTGGGACTGGTACACATGCTGAACCTGTTGGACCTTTAAACACACACACAGACGTACGGATCAGACTGGTGCTAAATAACCACCGCATGAGTTCTGAGATGTTATAATACAGATTCTGTAAGGCAAATGAGACAAACAGCAGTATGCAGGCAGTAGGGGGCAGTGAGTACAAAGCTTCACCTCAACAATCAGAGACGCCCTGTCAAGCCGGGAAACTACTTATTAACATATTAGTCGCAACAGCCCAAGCGTGACGTGCGTGAAAGTACAGCATGTCTGCATTTCGGGGTTGTCACAGTATGCTGGGAGAGAGAGAGCATGATGGAAAGACAAAGACAGTCACGAGAGCGCGAAAGAGATATGTAGAGAGGCAAAAGATAAGCCAGAGGTGTTGTGGGTCCTCAGGATGTGCAGTGAGCATGCAGGGCTTGATTGACTGTCCTGTGTGTGTGTGTGTGTGTGTGTGTACCTGCTGAGGGATCTGTTGCACTTTAGGCACTGGCAACTGCTGCACCTGAGCTCCCTTCTGGGAAGAGCCGGTGGCCTGAACTAACACACGCTGCAGGTGAGGGACACACACACACACACAAACGTAAAAATTAGACCCTTTTCTCTTTAAAAGGTCAGGTGCGTAATTGTTTCGATGTCAGAATGCCATTATCCCAGTTTAATATGGAAAGAAAACTAAGTAAGCCATTTTTGTGGCAATTTCCAAAACTTTTGTCTTAACCAATTGGTGTGAGCTTGGGGTGGGACTACCTATCTGTCCAAATAATGGAAGATGGGTGGCAGGGCGTTTCTTTGTTGTGTCAAATTTCACACATTTACAACCCAAAAAAAAAAAGAATAAAAACCACAGAGAAAATATTTATATCTTGAGAAAGATCACTGGAAAGTTTCGTTTATAAAAGTGTCGTCTTTGATCCAAACTGCAAGCACCATGAATGTTACATACTAGGAGTCTATATTTCATTCTGTGCTGGTTTTCATCAAATCCTCTAGAGCTGTCCAGGGAAATGTGATGCTCTACTCAAAATATTAACCAAAATTACATAAAAGACCAGTTTCTTTGGATGTGTAGTTGATCCAAACCCAACATCTCCCTCAGCAGCACCACGCAAAGATGCTGCTAATCATTTCAAGTGGCTTTGACAGATAAAGGGTGTGGGTGAGGAGAAATCTTTCATCGCTTCAGATGGGTCCAGTGCATATTGAAAATCATCTTTAAAGAGATTCAGACCGATGACAGAAGAGCTAAAGCAGCTCAGATTTTCAGATTAAACAGCTCATGTGGGAGGAGCTTCCTTAATTTTTATTATGCTACTTTTGTGCAGCAGTGTTTTGATAGATCGTACTGAGCCTGCTTACCTGTTGGGAGGCGGGAACGGGCTGAACCACTGGCGCCTGGGCTGAAATGGACGTTCTCAGCGCCACGGTGGATGCCGACTCTGAGCCGCCCTCTGACCGCTGCATGGTTTCTCCTGAGTGTGCGAGAGAGAAAGAGAAAATATTAAAAGGAAAAACAGTTGTTGCTTCCCAATTTGCGTACTATCCATATTATATAGCTTAACACTCCACACGCAACATTAGCATGTCAAAATCATTGTACCTAGCAATAGTATGCCAAAAGCGTGATTGCTTTTGCAAAGTGTGCATTTGTGCTAGGGATGGGACGATACGCTAATCTGCCAATTCAATACTGTCCCGATACTTGTGTGCCGATTCAATATATATTGCTATATATAACTATTGCGATTCGATATTACAATTTATTGTGATTTTGTTTGCTTATTAAAGACTAGACAATGGAAAATACCTGATCACACCCTTAAAGAGACTGTAAATGAGTCATATTAACAAAAACAATGCATCACATCTTTCTGAACTTTTATTACAGGAGCATACACATACACCGTGCATATTTTAAAATAACTTGACCCATGAAACTTTCAAGTACCAAAACCCTGAACTTGCACATGAATACAAGTCAAAAGTTCAACAAAATGAGTAGAAAAAAAAATACTTTCTGAAATAAAATAAAGTTCTATGTTACTTTGCATACAGTTTTAGTCACGTTTAGTCATGTTTTCCCGGCAGTGTGTAAAATACAAAGTGTTTCCACACATGGGATTCAAAACGTGAAGGTGCAGAAAGAATTCTCGAAGAGGTTTGATCCTCTGTCAGGGTTTTGCTTTCTCGCGTCGGCTTGAAACGTATACGACGTCATCTAATTCAGCGGCACTGCGCATGCAGACCGCTCGTTGTATGACAAAGCAGATGGATCCGCATGCTTTCGAATCACTCTCGACGTTACGGATTAGTTACATTTATTTTGTAATTAACTTACGTAATGCCGTTACATGTAACTAGTTTCACCCAACACTGATGCTAACAGATACTAATAACTCTTTCTTCAGCGTTAACAAATCAGTGTTTGAAAGTACAAACCAAATTAAATTTGAAACAATGAATTTGGCTAGGTTAAAAAGTATACAACATGGTTTATCAAGACACAAGTTTATGACAATAATGGTAGATTTGCAGTTTAGTTTACATAGTTTTAGTATGTAGTTGTTAAGTATTAGTTATGTTAATATTGCTACTAAGTATTGTTATAACTTAGCTCAAGATAATGTGTTTTTGGGATAACATTTTAACAAAATATTTGAAGAGGTTAGCATTAGCTCAATTATTTTTATTTGATCCAAATCAGAACAAACTAAGTATAACATTTTTTGAAGCACTGAAAAACAATGCAGTAAAAGTTCAAAATAAGCATAAAGGACAGCAATGTGTCAATTGCCATCTCAACATAATATTATATCACGAGATCCCTGCTGATTCCCACCACTACTAAAGATACGCGACACAATCAAACTGAGTGCCAACAGGTTGCTGGAGAAGATAAGAACGGCCCACTGAAATACAACTCCGCGAATGTGCCAGAAAAAGTGGGATACAAAGCGGCTTTTCACACTGTCTTCTTCGAAAGGACCAGGAGCTCAACCTACCCAAATCAGGCTGAGTCACCCGCATCCCCAGCAGGCCGCTCACCTCTGAACTCTATTATGGAGAAAAGAACAAAGGAGACATTAACAATCCCATCACAACTGCAACGTGGCCCCAATGAGTCGATGGGGAATTGGGCTCAAGTGAAGATTTGAGTTTGCCACTGTCGTCAAGATCCCGATGTAGCTCTCCAAACTCTCACAGCCGTTGATGGTGCACAGAACAACAGGAAAAAGTAGAAAAGAGTGACAATTGGAAACCAATCAGCCTCCCACAGAAAAAAAATCAAAAACAAAAAAGAATAGGAGGTGAGAGCAGGGGGAAAAACCACATACCCCCCAATCATGAAAAGAAAGAGCAAAGGGGGAAAAAAAGCTAAAATGGCAATGAGGCTGGTCCGCCCACTAGGATACTGATGATCTCCAGCGGTTGTTTGGAATGAGAGTCCGTCTCTAGGGGCTCCAATAATACAGCTGATATGAGGAAATTCCTCAATGCTTTGTAAACGTTTGTCGGTTGCTATGGTGAGGGATCCATGGCAACAATCCCTAACTCTACCACCCCCTTCCCCTTGTGCTATTCTTTTTTAAGCTCACACACAGGAACTTTCGGAGCGCTAGAGAGACAGACAGACTCAGAGACGGGGAACGAGAGCTACGGGGGGGCGCCGAGCTCTGTACATCTAAATAAGCTCTTTACCAGTCCAACGGTGCATTTACCACTCAACAGGTCCCAGAACAGCGTTTACGATGCACGCCTGCATTGATTGTGACTGACAAACAGCAGAGGATGTTGATCTGAGAGCTCATGCGCTTCGAGAGACCCCTTGACTGACAGTTTGTTGTTAAAAGTTTAAAATAGAGCAAAAGAGAAGCAATACGCTTCACACGCATGATTTAATCTGCAGGAAAAAATGGATGCTAATTACAGGCACTTAAAGTTTTCCTCTGGGAATAGAAGAATAAAGAATAAAAGCTAATTGTGTTTTCGGAGATCAGTAATATAGAAATAATGAATTCTCAAGTGTGAAGCTCTATTCAAAGGTAAATTAATTGGAGAAAAATTTAACTATCCCCGTTTTCAGAAAATAAAGGGATTGTGATGAATACAACAGATGAGTCAGTTCAGTAAAAAGCATGAACTCAGATGCCCTCTGTGGGTGTATCTGTCTTTCTTTTTTTTTTTTTTTTTTTAACACAGTTGACACACATTTGCGGTCTTCTTTATACAGAGTCAATACTGTGAAAATCCATTAAAAATAGGCCTGGGAGATAAAACGGTATCGATATTTATCGACGGTACACCTTCTTCGATAACGATATAATTTTTTTTCGATATAGCGCACAATATAGGCACGTGCTATGAGTGATGCAGACAGCACACACAAACAGACCTTGCATCAATTTCGAGAGGGATTTAGCTAAACAGATTAAAAAATGACTATGAAACTATGACAACACTCAAATATTTTAGCTAATCCGATTATGCTTTTTAATGATAAATCATCAAAAAACTCAAAGGGCGGTGGCTGGTAGAATTTTATGAATGACGTGGGTTCAAGTTCAGTGGATATCTGTGGACTTGCGGGCACCGATTATGTGTGGGCGTAATCACCCAGTCATCATCAGGCTGGAAGTCTTCCAGTTTGTTTACACCAGTTAGACGCGTGTAGATGGTCACAGTCATGCTTTCCAACTGGGCTTGCTGTATCAGTCAACAGGAGTTATTTGGTTCAAATCCCACAGACTTTGTCTAACTCTCACATGAACTAGACTGGTAAGGTAAAACACGAGTCATAATGCCAATAAGCTTCATCAGAACTCTCAGAGTAAACAGTATGAGTGTGCTTAGATCTTTTAAAAGAAAGGAATTTGCTTGAGGGGTGTTGCATTGGTTATAAATACGTCCTGGGCTGGCCCTGCCACAGTTATCTTTGGAGCTGATTCTGCCTACTGCTATTATTCCCAGAGAAAGGGAGAGATCGCTCATTGTGTGCCTTCAGGTGTTCGGAGAGAAATCTACAGCCTGTCAGTCTGGGTACTGAGCAGCACTTCTCAAATAGCTTTGTTGGGTCACCACTTGATGCCCAACATAAAATTTGGGTCTTGAAACAAAGTATGAAAAATTTCCTTAAAAGAGAAGTTCACTTCCAGAATAATAATTTCTGATAATTTACTCACCTCCATGTCATCCAAGATGTTCATGTCTGTCTTTCTTCAGTAGAAGAGAAATTAAGGTTTTTGAGGAAAACATTCCAGGATTTTTCTCCCTACTGTGGACTTTAATGGTGGCCAACGGGTTGAAGGTCCAAACTGCAGTTTAAATGCAGCTTCAAAGGGGTTCTGCATGATCCCAGGTGAGGAATAAGGGTCTTATCTATCGAAACAATCTGTCATTGTCTAAGAAAAATACAAATGTTTATACTTTTTGGAAGTACCGACCCAGTGTTTACAAAGCGAACGTGCAAAGAAAGTCAAATGCCCTCTAAAAGGTAAAACAAGTATGTTGTGAGAAAATGAGCCCTACCCAACTTTTTATAACCAAAGTATACAGATGAAGAACTAACCGCGCATGACTTTTCCAACATGATTACACAATGCGTGAAGACGCCCATGCGCATCGCAGAGGTAGTGCAAGATGAGCATTTGTGGTTAAAAAGTATATACATTTTTTATTTTTTAAGAAAATTACCAATCATTTCAATAGTTAAGACCCTTATTCCTCGGCTGGGATCGTGTAGAGCCCTTTGAAGCTGCACTGAAACTGCAATTTGGACCTTCAACCCATCGGTCACCATTGAAGTCCATTATATGGAAAACATTCCAGGAATTTTCTCCATATAATGGACTTCAATGGTGGCCAACGGGTTGAAGGTCCAAACTCAAAAACCTTAATTTCTTATCGACTGAAGAAAGAAAGACATGAACATCTTGGGTGACACAGGGGTGAGTAAATTATTGGTAAATTTTCATTCTGGAAGTGAACTGCTCTTTTAACTGAAATGTATCATAGCACATCAACTGCATAAATGATGTTCAACCTTGTTCACAAAACTAGTTCATGCTGGCATCTGCTGAATTCGATCTTAGAAATCCCCAAAAAAGCTTTTGAAAAATGTATATTTATTTTGCTATCTTAAATACACACAGCTATAAGGTTAGTTAGAATTCTTCACTGTCTGTGACCCAATAAGAACCTGTGAACTAGGGCTGGGCGATTTTGCAAAAAATTTAAATCTTGATTTTTCAAGAATGTTTGACCGATTCTCGATTTGTTTTACGATTTTTAACTAGTCAACTTGAAAATGTAACTACAACATGATTCAAGTTACTTTTTCTTTATTAACCCTCTAGTTAAAGAAAATTCTATTCTAAGTGCAGCACACATGAAGTTGTCAACATGATGTAAATGTTAAACAAATCACTTGTTAAATATCTTTGCAGAAAAGATGCATAAACTACAAGTACATATTGTACAAACTTGTCTTATACATATTATGTGTTCAGAAATAATAAGAGGAAAATGCTTTTAAAAAATTTCAAAAGTCACGGTAATTCAAATTCAAAATGACTGAAGGTATAACACCAGTAGACTATCACTAACTATAAATGTTCTGTAAAAACAACAGCAGCTTTCAACCTGTCACCATGATGCAAACATGTCTCATGCATGAAACGCCATTCTAAAAATAATGCGCTCAAGTTAAAAGTAGTTCACTCCCATCTTCTTGCATGTTTTACCTATTCCACTGCCCACATCGCATCTTGGTCAACACAAAAGCGCATTCTGTGTGAATGGCGCTTAGCGCTATATTAATGGTCCTTCACAGAGCGCGTCACACGTGAGCGGTTAATCACGTGCGCCAACATGCGGCTGGATCATTCGTTTCTCTTTACTGTTATCACCGGCATATTGTCAAAGTGTCTAATTCTAACATTTGGTAATATTTCTATTCAAAATCGCGATTCCTCGATTTCTAAAAAATACAATCGTGGCAAAACAATAAATTCGAATTAATCGATCAAATCGGGAAAATCGCCCAGCCCTACTGTGAACTATTTTTGCATCACAACCTCCCAGAACCACTAGATTTTTTTTCAATAACAATAATAATGAGAACGAGTGAAGCGGGCTAGTTAGTCGTGCATGTCAATCTCATCTAAGCTCCTAGAGAAGGTTAAAAGTCACACAAATTCCCCACCAGCAGCTACGGGCCGCACAAAAGCAGAAAACAACAGGAGCACACCGGCACTTTGGTGTGAAGAGTGAGAGAGGCCTGTCCTCAACAGGCTTCTGGTTTATTACAGTAGAGCAGAGACTCCCAGCCACACGACACAAGCGCTCACCTCAGCTGAACACAAATGAGCTATTAAAGACCGCCACAACATCGCAGCCATTTCCTTCCGTTCCCATTAACCGGAGTGTGACGAGAGAAATCCTCTCCTGGAAGTATGCTGGCAATAAACCAGGCCTAGCCTAAATGACAAGGAAAACATAAAGTGATACCTGTGATTGAGGTGAGTGTTGAGAAGAGGGTTTAGACACATCTGTCACAGACAGATTGACCTTAAACAACACTCGATCAGGGCAAAGCACAAGCAGATGTTCAATTAAAAACAGGAGCCCACAGTCTTGGCTCTTGTTTGCACTGGCCCACATTGTTTGCAGAGCAACAACGGTTGCTAGTGGCAACACCGTCCACTCCCGTTTCCAGGAGCCTGTTGCTATGCAACCAACAGAATACTTCCCAAACCAAACAATGCCATCCCCCAAGTGATCCTTCTATCTCACATTAACCAGAAACTTAGAACAATAAATACATAAGCTATTACTCTGACCCTTTGCAGCGGAGGCAGGGACTCGGGAGGGAAAAAAAACATGTGCCGTTATAGCGAAAAATCGACAAAAAGCTGTACTTCAGAACTTACAAGAACTTTCTCTGGTATGGCATGCTGACAGGGAATGTTAAAGCCATCAGAAAGACAAAAAAAAGAGTCAAGAAAAGAAAAGCCGCTACAAGTCATCCTTGCACTTACACACTCCAAATACAACAA